TTATAGAGACAATGTAAGAAATTGCTAGTGCTATGATAATCGGATATATAAGAAATAATCGATTCTGCTAAACGATAAGTTCTTTGATTTAAAATGATTTCACTATGTTCCACTACATGATTATATCAAAGAAAATGTTTACCACCTTTCACATAGACGGTGCAGGTGCTACCTCATTACTAGCTTCAAAAGATATAGTTCGTTTGAAGATCTTTAATCATAATACTGAAAAATAGAAAAGTTAGCCGATCGGTATTTGCGTGTAATACATGCGTTTAGGTGAAATGTCTCTTATAGTATTCAATTTGAATACATTTTAGGTAGGAAAGTGAATGTTTAATTTAGATAGTGATGTCTTCGCGATAACATATAAATCTGAAGAATTTTATATACGCGTGTGCCTGTCCCCTCTACTAAGTAGTACATTATGTGAAGTATACTTTCATATGTGTAACATGGAGCATGCTTAGAGATTAGAGTAGCCAGCAGATCTTATCTTCATGATTGTCAAATATCTGTGTAAATGAATGCCTTAAATATACATATACACAAACAAATTTTGTATTTGACTTCTATTATCAACATTGCATTAATGTGATCACTTGACAAAATACATACGAAGTGAAGTAGAATCTACATTTTTAACATTCAGCTCTATCAACAGTCAACGTATAGCTTAATAAATATAACCAACATGCATTATATGAGATGAGTTTTGATAGGTGGTTTTACAATAGGATACCTGAAATACTTACCTTAAAAGTAGTCTATTTTTAATGCGTTATTTAGTATCAACTTTTGAGTTGAAGGACAAAGTTCAACGTCATCTATACCCACCTTATCAAAGCAACAATAACATGCCTGTGTATATTGATAATATATATTTATATTGAAAGTTAACGAGAGATTCTTTCAATCTGTACATTTGTTCATGAAAGACAATTTCAGACATATGATGATCTACAGAAATCTAGGCTGTCGTTATAACAGTAGGTACTGTGATAGAAAAAGAAAAGAGAAAAATACAATGCTTAGCGAAGTAACATGGTTATGTGTTTATTTACTAAAAGATAATATATTCTGTTGTACAATAAGTGTAATATGTTTGATCTTGCTAACAAGATGCATCATATGTAAGGCAATTATCATGATTTAATTTTATTGCAATTATCAATGAAAAATTTGCTTAGTATTGTTTTGTCTAACTCCGCCTGTAGCTCTTCTAGAGTTACTGCCGGTCCCAAGCCCGGGTAAAGGAGGAGGGTTGGGCATGGGGTTAGCGACCCCATCCCGTAGAAAAGCTAACTCGCTAAAAAACGCTAACCAGAAAAAATAATCCAAACCATTTAAACTCTGCCCTGGGAGTTGAAGGAATAATGACGTCTCATGATGAAAGCCGAAATTCTTCGGAAGTCTCGAGACCGATGCACCTTCTAACAACCAGAGCAACACTCTTTATAGGTACATGGAACGTCCGGACAATGTGGGAAACAGGAAAGACCAGCCAAATAGCAATGGAAATGAGGAGATACAACTTGGCAGTACTCGGAATCAGCGAAACCCATTGGACACAAACTGGACAACAAAGGCTAGGTACAGGACAGATGCTGCTGTACTCCGGTCACGAAGGGGAAAATGCGCCACACACTCAGGGAGTTGCTCTAATGCTGTCCAGAGAAGCACAAAATGCACTTGTGGGATGGGAATCTCATGGACCCAGGATAATCAAAGCATCATTCAGAACAAAGAAGGAGGGCATCACAATGAATGTTATCCAATGTTATGCACCCACCAATGATAGCAACGACGATGATAAAGATCAGTTCTATGAAAGGCTGCAATCAATTATGGAGAAGTGCTCACGAAAGGACCTCACCATCTTTATGGGAGATCTAAATGCTAAAGTTGGAGTGGACAACACAGGATATGAAGATGTAATTGGACGACATGGACTAGGAGAGAGAAATGAAAATGGGGAGAGACTTGCAAACCTATGTGCTTTCAACAAATTGGTTATAGGCGGCACAATATTCCCACACAAGCGCATACACAAAGCTACATGGATCTCACCGGACCACACCACAGAGAACCAGATTGATCACATCTGTATCAACAAAAAATTCCGAAGATCAATGGAAGATGTGAGAACCCGGAGAGGAGCTGACATAGCTTCAGATCACCACTGGCTGGTTGTGGCCAAGATGAGACTGAAGCTAAAGAAAGACTGGACAACTGGACAAACAGCACTACAAAGGTTCAATACAGCCTTCCTTCGAGATGCTGACAAGCTCCATGAATTCAAGATAACTCTCAACACCAGGTTCCAAGCTCTACAGGATCTACTGAAAGAACAAGAAACTACTTTGGAGGACAACTGGAAAGGGATAAAAGAAGCACTAACTTCAACGTGTCAGCAGGTTCTTGGTCCTAAGAAGCATCATCACGAGGAATGGATCTCTATGGGAACCCTGGACAAAATTCAAGAAAGGAAGAACAAGAAACTAGCAATTAACAACAGCCGAACACGAGCAGAGAAAGTCAAAGCACAAGCAGACTACGCAGAAGCAAACAGAGAAGTGAAGAAAAGCATTAAAGCCGACAAGCAGAAATACATGGGAGAACTAGCAACGGCGGCGGAAAAAGCTGCAAGAGAAGGGAATATGAAACAACTATATGATACAACGAAGAAATTGGCAGGGAGATATAGCAAACCAGAGAGACCAGTCAAGGACAAAGAAGGAAAGACAATCACTGAGATTCAGGAACAGAGGAAAAGATGGGCAGAATACTTCGAGGAACTGCTGAATAGACCAGCCCCATTGAATCCACCGAACATCGAAGCAGCCCACATAGACCTTCCAATAGATGTCACTCCACCAACGATCGAAGAAGTCAAGATGGCCATCAGACAAATCAAAAGTGGGAAGGCGGCAGGACCTGACAATATACCAGCAGAAGCACTGAAGTCAGACATTGAAATAACTGCAAACATGCTTAACCTTCTATTCAAAAAGATTTGGGAAGAGGAACAAGTGCCAACGGACTGGAAAGAAGGATATCTCATCAAGATACCAAAGAAAGGAGATCTGAGCAAATGTGAAAACTACAGAGGCATCAGTTTGTTATCAGTACCAGGAAAAGTTTTCAACAGAGTGCTGCTGAATCGGATGAAAGACGCAGTAGACGCCGAACTTAGGGATCATCAGGCTGGATTCCGTAAGGATCGGTCGTGCACAGACCAGATTGCGACACTACGGATCATCGTTGAACAATCAGTTGAGTGGAACTCATCACTATACGTCAACTTCATCGACTATGAGAAGGCGTTTGACAGCGTGGATAGGAGAACATTGTGGAAACTTCTTCGACACTATGGAGTTCCTCAGAAGATCGTCAACATTATCCAAAACTCATACGATGGATTACATTGCAAAGTGGTGCATGGAGGACAGCTGACAGATGCATTTCCAGTAAGGACCGGAGTCAGACAAGGCTGTCTACTCTCCCCATTCCTCTTCCTTCTAGTGACTGACTGGATTATGAAGAATTCGACATCTGAAGGGAAATACGGAATACAATGGACAGCTCAGAATCAATTAGATGATTTGGACTTCGCAGATGACCTAGCCCTCCTCTCTCATACACACGACCAAATGCAGATGAAGACAGCAAATGTAGCAGCAGCCTCCGCATCGATAGGCCTCCACATTCACAAAGGAAAAAGCAAGATTCTCAAATGCAACACGGAGAACACCGACCCAATCACACTTGATGGCGAAACTCTGGAAGAGGTGGAAACATACAAGTACCTGGGGAGCATCGTTGATAAACAAGGAGGATCGGATGCAGATGTAAAGGCAAGGATTGGCAAAGCAAGGGCAGCATTTCTACAATTGCAGAACATATGGAACTCAAAACAACTCTCAACCAATTTCAAGGTCAGAATCTTTAATATGAACGTCAAGACAGTCCTACTGTATGGAGCTGAAACGTGGAGAACTACTACGGCCATCATCAGGAAGGTACAAGTATTTATAAACAGTTGTCTACGCAAAATACTCAACATCCATTGGCCGGATACTATCAGCAACAGCGTTTTATGGGAGAGGACAAACCAGCTTCCAGCTGAAGAGGAAATTAGGAAAAGACGTTGGAAGTGGATCGGACATACATTAAGGAAATCACCAATGTGCATCACGACTCAATCCCTAACTTGGAATCCGGAAGGGAAGCGGAAAAGAGGAAGGCCAAAGAACACACTACTTCGGGAAATAGAAGCCGATATGAAAAGGATGAATAGCAACTGGAAAGAACTGGAAAGGAAGGCTCAGGACAGAGTTGGATGGAGAATGCTGGTGAGCGGCCTATGCTCCTCGACGAGGGGTAACAGGCGTAAGTAAGTAAGTAAGTAATTGTTTGTCTGAATCTTCCCATTGATGTTTAGGACTGCAACTGGTCAGTCTCTTATTGGCATATGTGCATACTAAGCGTATTGTCTCCATATTGCCTTATTTCACAAGCATTGTAAGCAAAGATGGATAGTGGCTAGCAGTGGTATCCAGGACGCGCGTCACTTCGTCCTATTTGGGACTAGTCTGTTGAATGTACTTGTATTTAGGAGTTGATGTTCACTCTGGGACTCGAACACATTACCTTTCGCTTCAAACGTCATCACGTTATCCACTCAGCTACTGCGTCCTGATAGCCACTTGTTTGTGCGATGGGGTGAAGTTTAAATTCACTTGATATTGTTTGTTTGAATCCTCCCATTGATGTTTAGGACTGAAACTGGTCAGTCTCCCAGAGTGAACATCAACTCTGAGATGCAGGTACATCCAGCTGACGAGTCCCAAATAGGAAGAAACATGAGTCCTGGATTCCACTGCTAGACATTATCCATCTTTGCCTACAATTATCAACGTAGTTTCCCTAATTTTATACTAATATAAAGTATAATGTTCAAAATATACTTTTAAGCTTTCACGTCATGTTACTCACCATTATATTATAGTATACATCATATCTAAATTGAAAAAAAATTTACAGACGTGTAGTCTGAAGAAGGTTTGCTGACTCACGTTATAATTGTCTCACGTATTCTGTTAAAAAATTTTATTTTTAAAACCTGTGACTTAATGACTCGTGGTTCACAGAACTTGGTTTTGTCTGGATTTTAATTATAAACCAATTTTTCAGTTTTCCAAAACTACCGTAACTTTTCAATAGAAAATTGCGGGTAAAAGATTAACCTTTTGTAACTGAGCTTTTGTTAGTACTGTGGGAGTATTAAATTTTGCAAACAAAAACCTATGTAACCATTCGATATTGATACTTACTTTGTTAATTTAACAGAAACTGCTTACAGAAGGCGTTTAATTGAAAATCTCAACTTTATCATAGAACATCCCTACATATGAAGCTGTTCGATTTCTACATAGTTATATTGAAATTCTCACGTCCTTCTATCTTCTCCTTCGTTCAAATATTTTTTTCTACCTTTTATGTGTTTCTTTGTGGTGTTACGTTAGGTGAATAGAAACCAATATGGTTGGATTTTGTAATATGTTGAGAATAATCAGTACCACTTCACTGTTTCTTAATACTGTTTATGACTGAAGTTAGACAGGAATCCGTTTGAAAATGGACTGGAGGTTATGATTGTAAGTGTATTACAAGTTACTCTGATAGGCTCTTGTAATCAGTTAGTAAGTTTTATTTTTAGAGGTCTAGGAGGTCAGAGAAACCTAATCCATAAAATACACAGGTATTATTCGTGCAGAAACTGAACATGATAAATTCAAGATTTTCTTAATCATCGATATCGTAAGATGGCGTCGTGTATTATATTCATAAAATAATCAATCAGGAGATTCACACTGAAGAATATACCAAAGATGTTGCAATCTTCGTCTTTCTATAATTTACTAACGGACACGTGATCAATCCATAAGTATATATATATATATATATATATATATATATATATATATATATTCGTATGTTAATTTTGTTGTCTATCTAAACTGTTGAACAACCATTAAAAATTAGAAAGCTTTGAGACTTTTCACCTTAGTTTGGGGTTCCTCAGCAGTGTCCATCCATGACTTAGACCCCTCGATTTCAAACGCTTACCTCTACACCACTGAGCTCAAACCCAGCTGTGCATATATCCAAATTTAAGTGGTTTGCAACTTTCCTTACACCACGAGACTGAGGGTACTGGATTCGATCCTCGGCGGTGTAGTGGGTGTGCACTGTTAAGGAGTTCAATACTCAGTCAAAATAGGTCTACAGTGTTTTTTGGTTTTTAAAAGTTGTCTGAGTTCAGTCCGTTATATAAAGAATAAAAATCCAACAATCTCCACAAACGGTCATATATTAATAAAATACTCTTAGTCACAAAGAATTCAGTGGTCCTTTATATTCTGGTCATTTGGTAGTTCAAGAAAGTTATGGTTGTTCACAGATTAAATATATTTTATATTTACATGTGGTTTACGTTATTATAAAATGAGCTAACCATGGACTCTGAAGTGGTCTATTATTTTTATCTTACTCAGTTGCTTCGCTTGCAACCGTTTTGAAACCAAACATTTCTGTGAAATCTTGATACTACTAATTAACATTTAGAAAAATAAGAGGTTGGTTTGTTTTTAATCCGTTTGATTTTTTGACGTCTTGTACTTGAAGTTTCTTTATACTATGAACCTATAATGCTTGATTAAGACACTTTTTGTTCACAATTTTCAATTGGACGTATACATTACTTACAAGACATTAGAAAATTGATTATAAAGAATACGTTTATAGTAGTGTGAATAAATTGCTTACTTATTCCTCTCGTGATTCTATTATGATTTTTGTTAGAACCATAACGTGTACAAGGAACTGTTAATTTCAACTTGGCATTTAAAAACTTTTCATCGACATCTTTAAAAGTTGAATTGTTTTGACATTTCCATGACGGTTTAGCAAAGTCCAAATGAGTAAGAGATAATGGATGGCCGGTTTTAACTTCATAGATTTCATGTACTGGTTTCATGCAGTCTTGATCAATATTTCTCAGTTGGTTACAACAATTAAGTAGATTGAAAGAGTCTTGATATGTACTTTTAAAGCGTATTTGATTCAAAAAACTATATTGTTCTCTGCTAAGTCGTTGAAAGACTTTTGGTTGATTATATACCAATGTTTGAATTAAATCTTTCTCTGAATGACGATGAGGACAAAATGTTTTGCTTCTTTGTGTCAGTGACTCAGAAACTGTCGATACAGGAGAGCTTGGTTGATCTAAATATGACATTTGATTCATCTCATTTCGATAAGTTAAAAAGTCCTTGTTGAGAATGAACAAAAAGAATAGTTGAATAATATCTCAGAAAAAGTGGTGTTTACAACATGTTGTTCACTGTCTTTTAATTTTAATTAAAAGTAGTTAGGTTTATTTATGTCTTAACAAGTGATTTGTGAATCTCTTATACAATATCCATTTATTTCATCACAATTTATTATAGTACAGTGACTAAAGTAATTGCATTTGAAATATAAATCATGTAAGATGGATAGTGGTTAGCAGTGGTATACAGGACGCGCGTCACTTCGTCCTATTTGGGACTCGTCAGATGGATGTACCTGCATCTCAGAGCTGATGTTCACTCTGGGACTCAAATCCATTACCTTTCGCTTCAAACGCGATCGCGTTATCCACTTAGCTACTGAATCCTGATAGCCACTTGTTTGTACAATGGGGTGATGTATAAATTCACTTGATATTGTTTGTTTGAATCTTCTCATTGATGTTCAAGTCTGCAGCTGGTCAGTCTCTAATTGGTATATATGCATACTGTGCGTATTGCCTCAATATTGCCTTATTTCACAAGCATTGTAAGCAAAGATGGATAGTGGCTATCAGTGTAATCTTGGCTATACGCACAGTTTGCACATATGCCAATTAGAGACTGACCAGTTACAGTCCTAAACAACAATGGGAAGATTCAAATATGTAATACTTAGTGAATTTATAAATCATGTAGTTCTTTTAACTAGCGTTTGGAAAAGTCATTTTTACTGAAGATAGTAACACATAATAGCATAGTAGTGGTAATTAATAGGACTAGCAATGATACTGCATAAGTTTCTACTTCTTGAATTGATTTTGATATAGAAAAAGTTTATTTTAAACGTAAATTGAAATTGATAGACTTATAGAAAGCTTGTCTAGTTAAGCCATGTAAACCACTGATTTATAACAACCAAATTTACTAATGAAACAAACATTTCCCCAGTCTCTGATGGTATCTAAGCGTTTACCATATTGTTAGCTGCAGTGGCAAGCGTTCATTTTTGACAGATAAATCAAGGATGTGAATTCTTTTCTATTTGCTTTCTGGTAAACAAGCATGCCATTGTTGATATTCACACTGAAACTTAAACCTATTTTACAATGATTTAATTGACAGTGTGTTTCAAACTTATCATACTCCTTGAATAATTTAAATGGATGCTTTAATTCAATGACCTCTTAGATAACACAATGATGTTTGGAACAATATGTACTGCATTTGAATCACTTTGTAAACATCAATAATAAAATTTAAATACGGTCAGCTCTTTAGTCAGAAATAAAAATGGATGCATGTCCTTGATTCCACTGGTGATCATTGACCAAAATGCAATCAATTAGACATTTGTCGTCAGTCAGGTATAATGAATTTTAAAATAATCATAATTTAAATAAGTTGTGTGGAAATATCGTTCTGTCTAGTAAAATATACAGTTTATTTTGTTGAAAGTTCCTATTCTTGATTCATAGAATACGTAGTCTTTCGAATATTCATTCAAAATTCTTTCAACTAAATATCAATCCCAGTATGTGCTCCTTACAGTCTTAATAAACAACAAGAGGTTTGTCGGCTCCACTGATACTTATTACAGAATGTAATCTAATCTAATCAATATTTACCTTTCTTGGATGAGGTTTATTTGCTCTTGTCCCACTTGAAGTAGCTGTTCTAATCGGAGAATCTGGTTGAGGAGTCCAGCATCCAACATAATCTGTTGAATAAGTACTCTGATATGGGCCGTCAACTGAATTCAGTATTTCTAAATCATTCAAAGTTCGACAACTGTTTGGTGTAGAGATAGATTTACATGTTGGAGCTATAAAAGCGTGTCTAGTTGATCGTGGTCTAAAATTAATGTATGATGAACACAATAGGACGATATTTACTAAGACCAATTTGACATTGTTTTCAACATATACTTATCATAAAAATACAGCACCATTTATCAAGGTAATTTCATTGCAATCATTAGGATGGTCGGTAAGAAATAAGTTTATAAAATAAGAAGAATACATTTGTTTTAGTAAAAAGTGACTTTTAGATTACTTCCAAAGTATCGACAATAATCCTATAAAATTCAACTTAGTATTGTTTGTTTGAATCTTCCCATCGATTTGTTCGGACTGCAACTGGTCAGTCTCTAATTGGCATATGTGCATACTGTGCGTATTGCCTCGATATACATTAATTCACATATGCCAATTAGAGACTGACCAGTTGCAGTCCTAAACACCAATGGGAAGATTCAAACAAACAATACTAAGTTGAATTTAAACTTCACCCCATCGCACAAGCAAGTGGCTATCAGGACTCAGTGGCCGAGTGGATAACGCGATCGCGTTTGAAGCGAGGGTACTGGGTTCGAGTTCCAGAGTGAACATCAACTCTGAGATGCAGGTACATCCAGCTGACGAGTCCCAAATAGGACTAAACGCGGGTCCTGGATTCCACTGCCAGCCACTATCCAATCCTATAAAATGTTTAGCATATTCTACGTTGTTGTGTATACGAGATTTAATAGAGACAAAAGATAGTTAACCTTGTTTGCATAGAAAGTGTGTACAGTTAGGAACAACAAATTTTAAACTTATTTATGATGACATGTTTATTTGTAGTATCTAAGCATGAAGACAATAACTCAAAGGCATAACCCAAAACACAATAAGAAATAAAGTACAAATTCTTTTGAAGTTCTTCTTAGATTATTGTTTACCGAGTTTGTACTGGTTTACAAAGATTAAATTCGAATGTTCTTTGCAAAGTTTTTTTTGCATTACTCTTATAAACCTTCATTAATTTAATTATATGAACAAGACTGTCATCTGTGAATTATTGTATAGAGAGTTTTGTGTTGCTTCGGGTTTTTCTGTGTAAATTTTATCTAATATTAATTGCCCTCTTTCAAGTGTGAATTAAATTTTTAACGTTATGAAAAATTCCCCATAATTAGAAATTCGATAGACACTAAATTTACATGAAATAGACAGCTTAAACCTGGTAAGATTTAAAGTAAAAATTAATACTTTCTGTGTATTCGACAACCAAGTTCTACTTATTGAGTTGTATTATGAACACTTGTCTAACTCACACCATATCTCATGCATTATATTTCATTGTTAGATGATTCGACGTAGTCGACAGGAAACCCTGGGACTAGGTTTAGTTCTAGTTGAAACTTCTAATTGGGATGCTCTTGAGATTTCATAGGAACTGGCGCTCTCAGGAAGATGCGAAATTAGGTTAACCTAGTTCCAAAATCTCACTCTTCTATCACTTAATATTGTTTGGCTGAAATAATATCAGCCTTGAGTTTTCAGACAATTGCTTTTTGCCGAAAATTGTAGAATACCATTTATTCTTATCAAAATATGTATCTTCAACTGGTAACCTATATATCTATTATTTTAAAGCCTATTATGGTCATCATCAGTGCTAAATAACCAAATCGAAATGAGTTTCACATTACATATATATATATATATATAAAGCATTAATTAATATAACAATAGTTTCTACTTTCGTCAGTCAGCAGTTTTATTCAATAAGATTCTCACCCTCCAGCTTAAGTTCAATCTATTTCATCACTAATAACATACCGTAATGCTATCAAAGTAGAAGGTAGTTTATTTGCAAAATCTCTTGAATATGTTGTTTGCATAATATCTGTTTCATAAGGTAGAATTCTTTCACTGGTATTGATATTCTCTTCATAATCAATGTTGTCAGTTGAATTTTTATTTATCTTTTCTTTACTAATACTTGATGATGTACAAACATCTGAAGATATACTTTTGATTTTTCTATTAAAATTGTTTTTCTCTGGAATAAATTTTAGAGAATTAGGTTAACACTTTACAAAGTAATATGAATGAAAATCTTGCGATAAGTACAAATATTTATAAAAGAGATAGATTATAGTTAGTATAGCAATCGAAGACGTGTTTTGTGCCTTATTATGAGCTTATCATCTGGATATACTTGCCACACTCCTGTGTTGATGTTCACACTAGGAAACAAAACGGTACTTATCATTACAAACAGCTGATGTGCTATCTATCAAGCAATTAAGTCAAGATAGTCAGCACCTTTGTATCCAATACGAATTTAATGGATTACAAATGTCTCAACTAATACTGATTGAAATTCATCTACGAATATCTACTCCGGAATAATTTAAACACATAAAAATTGAATAGTGTCCACAAAATGTGCAAATAAAAGGTGTAAGATAATTGTTAGTATGAAAAAGAAGCAGAAAAATATAGATTTCGAACAGCTGTTTGTTGGTGAAGTAATTTATGAAAAACATGGTTAATGTCTATTTTTTGTACTGTTTTCAAACGGATATACCGTTTGATAAACATAAAGATGAGGTAAGATGGTGGTAGTAGGTGGTCAACAGCAAACCCTGGACCCAGGTTTCGTGCTACTTGGCACTCGTCATCAAGGTTTACCTGTAATTTTGAGGGAACCGGTGCTCCCTGACGGATTCGATCCCGTGTCACTCAGCTTCATAGTCAGAGACGTTACCACTGAGCTATTCGGGCCACGACCGAACCCCTGTAGGATCGAGATGTAATCACAATTGATTGATCAGTGGGTGGTGATCAATGTAATGCGCGTCAAGTCCTTCTTAGTGCTGATCGAATGCTATCGATCAAGTTGCAATGTGGCCACTAGTCTAGGTGGCTCGACACTGTGTGCACTATATATTGAGATAAGATGGTGGTTGGAGGTGGTCAACAGGAAACCCTGGACCTGGGTTTCGTGCCTCATAACCTCATAAAGATGAGGTTATTGAACTTTTATTATATAAAATCTGGTCTGCATTGATTTTGTCGGTCCTTAAAATATTTCTTATTTGTAGTAAACGATCAGTACCACTTCTTCAGATGTTAAAATCTTCAACCATCCCATAATTTTACATTTTCTCGTCACATTGTAACCAGTTTGTATTTCAGGAATAAGAAGAATTCTCAAGAGGGGTTAATCCATGTATCTAGACAGAGTGAACAGTGTTCCACTGTAGTGATCGAAACTTTCGTCAAATGGTAGTTATAATCCAGCACTAATATGTTCAAGTATCATTCTAATAATCAACAGTTAACTTTTATGATGATATACATATCATGTTTACACCTTATTTAAATCTCTATTTGAATAAGTGACTACATTTAAGAAGCTTGTCAGTGTTTTTTTCACAGATATTTCATTAATTAATGTTGATTAAACCAAATGTTTACTCAACATTCCATAGATGAATAGATTACTGTGAGATGAATGTTTTTTCTTGGATAATTAATATGAAAGATAAGGTTGAAACTTAAGAACAATTTGTTAACATAGTGATAAATTTTATATCTCTATATATGGAGAAGGTATCTTTAAAAAACTTACTATCCCATAAATATAATCAAGAGATGAAGAAAATAAGTTAAGGAAATAACACATTTTATTGCCATATCAAATTTCATCAACTAACATTAAACATCATGTTGGTAAGCGGCCTATGCTCCAACCATGAGGGGTAACAAGCGTAAGTAAGTAACAATTAAATATCAACATGGTAACAATTTAACTTACTTAATTTCAAAGATAAATTACAAGGATTTTTCTCATATTCAAATCTATCATGAATTGGTAATTTATTTATAGATAGAATATCCTGATCATTTAAACTATTTAATTGTTCAGTATTATTGAATGTCATAATCAGTTCAAAAGTTTGCCAATTTTTTTATTTTCCTTAAAATTATTTAATTATTCATAATTTTAAAAAAAACAAAAAAAATTTAATTTGTTGTTTTACATATAGATACATCTTTAATGAAGTTTATTTTATTTTATTTTTTTAAAATTATTTAGTTCATTTAAGGTCATTTATTTTTTGGTAGGGGTGGATGTGTGGGGGAGGTAACTGTTTAGACTAAGCATCCTTTAATAAATTGTAGACATATCATTATCTCATTATAATTATAGATGATACTGATAAGAATACGGATAATCAATAATAAAAGTTAATTTAATTTATTGATTTTGGCATTGTATTAATTTTTTTAAAACTATACTTTAAAGATTATAAATATTATTCAACATATTCAATTATTTATTTATTTAAACACATAAATATTGGTACAAAAAGGCACCATATATATATGCGCCACACAAATCTCATTTGATTTGTGTGAGGGCTGTGAAACTTCCCGGGTGCCCAAAATGAAGCTCGTGGTTTTCTTAGAGGACCACACCCGTAGCCTTTGACCTAAAGTTCTAATCCACAAGGCAGTGAGGCAACGTGATGAGATGTAGTCCCATGGTAGCCGGTGACCAACGATTGATTCATACGCCATTTGTTTCTTCAGGATACTGGAATCCATGTTCACCATTGGTTTGGAATCAGGGTTTTCCAACTCTCTTAGGTGTACTCTCCGTGTCCACCAACCCGGTTAAAGCGCCGGACATTCGCTTTTCGTCCTCTCAATTTTGTAAACAATAGTAATGACACAAGAAGGTAGTGATTAGGACTTCCCTGACAGAAGCTATATACATGTGGCCATGTGAGAGCATTTGGAGAGGACGAGCGGACTCTCCCCACTCTTGTCCGTACCAGGGCATTTGGGGGCATTCAACATATTATAAATAATATTACATATATATATATATATATATATTACTGTTAGTTATTACAGTTATTCTCTATTATATCGTGTATATATGCATGCTCTGTTTGATATATGACGTGACGATGCCGCCAATTAGAGAGCAGCAAATTTATCGATCGGATTATTGATACACAAAAGCTGTATGAGCAGTCTTGAGTACTTATCAGTTCTGCTTTCTGCCTAGCCCAGTCAGTTAAGTCCAGAACACCAATAACAGCCTCACAAACATACTGGGTTTATGTAACAAACAAACAGACCACATCGTACCATAAAATAAAAAATAACATTTGTACAAGATTTAGCTAAATAAGGCTGTGAATAGTGGGAACGGTAATTAATAGACTGAGGATAACTCAGGAATGGTAAATCGTACATCAATAGTCTATGGGTCAAAATAAAGCTCGTAATAAAAAGAACATGAATATGAATAGTTTGGTTACTTAACAATCATACAATAGGAGATATACATATCACATCGGTCCATAAATAGTTCTCAAAGCTATCATTCATAATTCTCCACGGGATATAACACACTCTTTATTACTGAAAATGTATATCGAACAGTCTAATGAAGAACAGTTCTATTTTTTTAAATTTTTTTTAAAATTTTTTAAGTAAACAACATATACATATTGAAATAAGAACAAAACAAATTGAGGATAAGTTCTCTTTTTGGAAAAGCTATTTTTAAAGCTGTACAGTAGCAAAATATTTCAAAATGAACACAGATAATTTAATAATAATAATAATAATTGGTTAGTAATAGTAAAAGATAGGTAAGATAAGAAAACAGTTCAAAAGTGTTACTTATATTATGAAATTAGAAAAATAAGATTACTAATGTTCAAGAACAACACTAAAGATAAAGTCTTATTCCTGACCATTTCTATAAGCATTCATCAATTTACTTGGTTCTGAGAAACTAAATATATGGATTTGTTATTGCATATTCTATCTGAAAGAAGTCAAGGTCATTGTAAGGTTTTATTGAAATAAGATGAAGATTAATCGTTAAGATGTCTTGTAAACGAACACTTCATGAACTCATTTCCTTTGGGTCAAACAAAATCAGCGTATAAACTCATCTACTAAATAGGTAGAAACTTATTATTACTAATGAACGTATTTTGTGAAATAAGTATAGTTCTACGACTGTATAGAGTAAAAATTGAGTTGACCAGAATGAGAACTAATTGCTGAACCAATTTGTCTTGTTTTCATGTGGAAGAATTATTTAAATTTCTGACGGTTGATTTTTCATTAAAAAATGATATCGCCAGAAGAAACATTGAAAACCAAGGAACATTAGATAGATGTTTCACCATGTTATTCAATTCTATAGTAACGAGAACCTGTCCATCCGGATTTCCAACCAAAGACTTTTACTTTTGAAGATTAGAAAATTACTTTTAAGACACTGAGTCACTGATACACATGAAGGTCTTAAGCGTAATCAAAATATTTAGAGCATACATGAAGTAATCTAGAAATGGAATTAAAAAGAATCACATAAGTAGTGAAGTCCTAATATCCTGAACTCTTTACTCCAACAACCAATGAATTTAGAGGGCTCCTGTTCATGTGTATTAGGAGTATACAACTTCATTTCAAAATGAAGAAGTCATCACAGGTAGCTGAGTGACCTCAATCCTGACTAATTTGATTACGGTGAAGTTATGAAAGACGAAAAGGAAGCATGCAATTAGGTAAACTACATTCATTTATAAATAATTTTCCCTACGCTATTGGTTTATTATGTACTTAAATGAACTAGTGCGAAGATTATTTTAAACATGTTATAAAGCAACATTTAGTAACCAGTATGATTGGCCTACAAATGTTCATTTCAAATAATCGAATATATATCAATAAAAAGGTTGGAATCCATTCAGGAACAGCTTACGCTTCACATTCTTCGCACCAATTCTACCTTAAATAATAAATACACATGTGATAAACATGAACTCAAATCTTCATAGAAGAGAAGACTTAAACTTAATCTCATCTTCTTCATCGAAATACGTAATAAACTATATTTTACATTCAATCAAGTAATTCAATATCAAGAAACACCTACTCACATCACATGTAACTCTTGGACATTAGTGAAACAATCATATTCTAAATCTTCTCTCCATATCAATTACTTGACCAGTAAATTTCCCAAACTCTGGAATAATTAACCACAATGTGTCCGTGAAATAAGACCACTCCCAACATGAACGGTTTATCATAAACTAACCTGACACATGTACTGTGGCAGACCAGACTGACTGAATGACTGATTGAATGATTGACTGACTGACTGACTGACCTATTGTAGTAATTATTGCTTTAATTGTTATGTGATCTCTGATTCCATTTCATTTCCTCTCGTGTTGTCGATGATCATAATCGATTGGTTATGGCTCAGCAATCGACCTTCAATACACCGTTCATATATCAACGGTATGTCCACTTAAAATGAGTTAGAAGTTCCCCCCTGAACACTTTCATTGTTGTAAAACGTGTGAAAATTGTACTGCCCCATCTATTTTTTTGAACTAGAATATATCAAACAATCTAATAACACATATCTGTCCTCTACATTTAATATCACTATCTACATCAAGCTAAGTATGCCCCCGATAACTTACTTACTGCTGCTCCCAATGGAGCATAGGCCGCCGACCAGCTTTCTCCAACCCACTCTGTCCTGGGCCTTCTTTTCTAGTTCTATCCAGTTCTTGTTCATTCTTCTCATATCTGTCTCTATTTCTCGGCGTAATGTGTTCTTTGGTCTTCCTTTTTCCTATTGACCTTCAGGATTCCATGTGAGGGCTTGTCTTGTGACACAATTGGGTGACTTCCTCAAAGTGTGTCCAATCCACTTCCAGCGCTTCTTCCTGATTTCTTCATCCTCTGGAATCTGGTTTGCTGTCTCCCACAGTAGGTTGTTACTGATAGTGTCTGGCCATCGGATCCGAAGTATTTTGCGTAGACAGCTGTTAATAAGCACTTGTATCTTCTGGATGATGGCTTTCGTACTCCTCCACGTCTCCGCCCCATACAGTAGAACTGTCTTGACATTTGTGTTGAAAATTCTAACCTTGGTGTTGGTTGACAATCGTTTTGAGCTCCAGATGTTCTTCAGTTGTAAGCATGCTGCTCTTACTTTGCCGATCCGCGCCCTCACATCTGCATCTGATCCACCGTGTTCATCAATGATGCTGCCCAGATATGTAAAGGTTTCCACATCCTCCAAAGCTTCTCCGTCAAGTGTAATTTGATTGGTGCATATTGTATTGTATCGGAGAGTCTTGCTTTTCCCTTTGTTTATATTGAGACCTACTGCTGCTGAGGCTGTTGCTACACTGGTCGTTTTCTCCTGCATTTATTGTTGCGTTTGTGATAGAAGAGCCAGATCATCCGCGAAGTCTAGATCGTCAAGCTGCATCCTGCCTGTCCACTGTATCCCGTGCTTTCCTCGAGATGTTGACGTCTCCAGTCGATCAGCAGGAGAAAGAGAAAGGGTGAGAGTAAGCAACTTTGCCTAACACCGGTCTTTACTTTAAACGACTCGGTGACTTGTCCTCCGTGGACGATTTGGCAGTTTAGTCCATCATAGGAGTTCCGTATGATACTGACTATCTTTTCAGGCACGCCGTAATGTCGGAGAAGCCTCCATAGTGTCGTCCTGTCCACACTATCAAATGCCTTCTCGTAGTCGATGAAGTTGATGTACAGTGATGAATTCCATTCGATTGATTGTTCCACAATGATCCGCAGAGTTGCGATTTGATCTGTGCACGATCTATCCTTACGAAATCCAGCTTGTTGATCTCGAAGTTGGGCGTCCACGGAATCCTTCATCCTGTTTAACAATACTCGGTTGAAGACTTTTCCTGGTATTGAGAGAAGAGTGATGCCCCTGTAGTTGTCGCACATGCTGAGATCGCCTTTCTTTGGTATCTTGATCAGAAGTCCTTTTTTCCAGTCTATTGGTACTTATTCTTCGTCCCAAATCTTACTGAAGAGAATATGGAGTATCTTGGCAGTTGCTGTTACATTTGCCTTCAGTGCCTCTGCCGGGATGTTGTCTGGTCCCTCTACTTTGCCGCTCTTGATTTGTCTAATGGCCATGCTGATCTCTTCAATTGTTGGTGGGCCAACATCGATTGGGAGGTCTGTTGGTGCTGCTTCGATGTTGGGTGGGTTCAGTGGAGCTGGTCGACTCAAGAGTTCTTTGAAGTGTTCTACCCACCTGTTTCGTTGTTCTTCAATGTCGGTGATTACTTTGCCTTTCTTGCTTTTCACTGGTCTTTCTGGCTTACGGTAATTTCTAGCAAGTTTCTTTGTTGTATCATACAGTTGTCTCATGTTTCCCTCTCTTGCAGCCTTTTCCGCTGTCATCGCTAAGTCTTCCACATATTTACGTTTGTCGGTTCTGATGCTCCTCTTCACTTGCTTGTTTGCTTCTGTGTATTCTTCTTGTGCCTTGGCTTTTTCCGCTCTGGTTCGGCTGATATTGATTGCTGCCTTCTTGTTCCTTCTTTCTTCAATTTTATCCAGTGTACCAACAGTGATTCATTCCTTGTGATGGTGCATCTTTTGGCCCAGAACCTCCTGACATGTTGAAACGATTGCCTCCTTGATACCTTTCCAGCTGCTCTCTATGGTGGTTCCCTCTCCATTGAGTAGGTCATGAAAGGCCTCGAACCTGTTGCTGAGGGCTATGTTGAATTTGTTGAGTTTGTCAGCATCTCGAAGAAAGTCAGTATTAAACTTTTGTGATGTTGTCCGCGCCGTTGTCCAGTGCTTCTTGAGTTTTAGTTTCATCTTGGCGACCAGCAAATGATGATCGGATGCTGTATCAGCTCCTCTTCAGGTTCTCACATCCTCCATCGTCCTCCTGAACTTTTTGTTGATGCAGATATGGTCGATTTGATTCTGTGTAGTGTTATCCGGTGAAATCCAAGTGGCTTTGTGTGGGAATATGGTGCCCCCTGTGAACAGTTTATTGGAAGCACATAGGTTTGCAAATCTCTCACCATTTTTGTTCCTTTCTCCCAGTCCATGTCGTCTCATGACGTCTTCGTATCCAGTGTTGTCCATACCAATCTTGTCATTGAAATCTCCCATCAGAATGGTCAGGCCCTTGGTTGGGTACTTCTCGAAGATCGACTGCAGCCTATCGTAGAATTGGTCTTTAGCGTCTTTATCGTAGTCGTTGGTAGGCGCATAGCATTGCATGACGTTCGTTGTAATTCCCTCTCTCTTTGTTTTGAAGGAGGCTTTGATGATCCTTGGTCCATGAGATTCCCATCCTATCAGTGCATTTTGTGCTTTTCTGGACAGCATCAATGCAACTCCTTGTGTATGTGGGGCATTTTCTTCTTCATGACCGGAGTATAACAGAAGTTCTCCTGAAGACAGTTGTTGTTGTCCAACCTTCGTTCAATGTATTTCACTGATCCCAAGCACCTCCAGGTTGTTTCTCCTCATTTCCGCAGCAATTTGGAAGACTCTGCCGGTCTCCCACATTGTTCGGACATTCCATGTACCTATAAAAATTGTCGCTCTGGTTGCAAGAAGGTGCATCGGCCTCATGACTTCCGAAGGAACTCGGCTTTCATCATGAGACGTCATTTTTCCTTCTACTCCCAGGGCAGAATTTGAAAGGTTTGAATGATTTTTTCTGGTTAGCGTTTTTTTAGCGAGTTGATTTTCTACGGGATGGGGTCGCTAACCCCATGCCCAACCCTCCTCCTTTACCCGGGCTTGGGACCGGCAGTAACCCCCAGAGGAGCTACAGGCGGAGTTATGCCCCCGATAAACTGGTATGAATTCTGTGACTGGTATTTTCAGGAAATATAACAATAATAATAATGATAACAATAACAATAATTGGCGTCAAATACATTTGAAATCATAACAATTCAAAGAGGAAACAATTGTGCTATTTATTTGGAATCAGTGATAGAAAGCAACACAGTTTACACTTGTGCACATGTGGAAATAATATCCAATTATGTTAAGAAACTAATTGAAATACACAAAAATATATTGTATAATGAAGTAGTGACTTAAACTATAAAATCAAGCAATGTCTTTCTGCATGTTCTTACAATGAATAATTCTCTCGAACTGGAGGTTGCTGTATAGCACTTGCTATCATTTGTAAAATACTACCAGCATAGATAAGTAAACAAGCTGACCAAGCCATAGGTATCATACCACCAGGTGAATATACCGTATTGTCACGAACAGTCTAAGTAAGCAGAAAATTATAAATCAATCAAATTTTATGACATAAGCATATATAATATCAAGAAAATACTCACCCATTTAAGCTCTCAGCATCATGACTGATAAGTATATTCTGTCATCTTTTAAACCACCTACTTACTAGTTATATGGGGATATTCTTATTTACAGATACATATCAAATGAAAGGCCACAGAACAATGAAAAGTCTACACTCTTGATGTCAAATACTCTGACTGTTTACACATTCAACTTTTAAAGAATTTGAAAACAGAATATCCATGTCTTCCAATGATGATTGGATTAATTGTTTCACCTAATGTGAGTAGTTTGTGAATTTTATGTGATTTCGAAAATCGCTTACCACAAACGCTTAGTAAAACGTCATTCGAAGTTTATTTATTGTAGTTACCGATTCTAATGACATACTTTTATAGGTTTATCAGAATTTTAAATGTCATTCTTCAGTCGATCATAGACAGGAAGAATGAAAACTAATTTTGATATCTATCATTTACTCAAGATTCACCTAGCTAGAAGAATATCTTCGACATCTTGTGATGAGAACATTTGGAAATTTTTTACGTTATATTTTCTTCTTAAAAGATGACATGCACGTTGAGAATTAACGTGTATACGCAAATCTTCGATACAAAATTACCAGTCAATATATTCTATGTATTCATAAAGTCAGATGACTCAGAATCACATCGAATTTCGATTGCTGCAATGCATTCGTGAATCCACTCAGTAGAAAATAATGTAATTATGTAATGTAAGGTAATGCAATGTAGCGGTTAGTAGCTATCAAGTAGAGAGTGTGACCAGTCATCAATAAAACACTCGTTAGTTTCCACTTACCGAAACCACTCTATTGAAAACCCTCATTCGCCAGATTAATAATGTGCTACTGGAATTTCCGCAATTTCTATGTCATCCAATTTTACTCTGAACAAGTACACTAGCAACAATCTCAATTGTTGACTGTATATCTATGCCTCCGTAACATTATGTGTTGTATAGGCTTGAACGGAATGTGAACTCCTAACTGAATTACTAATCACATGTTGATTTGAATGTTTCAAACCAATGATCTTGTTTCGTATTCTCCGAAAACGTTGTACGCACTGAGCAACCAAATGTTATTAATATGATCTCTGTGTGTTAGTTTACGAAAATGTCATGAGTGGTCTGATCAAAATGTGAGGTTCTCTAGGTAGTTTCCTCTTGTGGTACAATTAGTTGTTACGTAACTGCACCAGTTTGATGCATGCATAACTTACAAATATGGTTCACATGAGAATTGGAGTATTGTAGAAATTTTCACAGTATAGTGGATGTTAAAGTGAAAGTTGCGATTCACTTAAGATATTATGATGGGTCATCATGAAATATCGGTAGCCTAAAGACTATTGTGTAAATAACCAGAATACTATCGAATACTCGTATTATGAAGTTGGTAGGTAGAATGGTATTCAATGATCAGATTGAAATATTGAACTGAAGAGCTAAAAATCACTCCTTACATCTACTCATTTGATCAACGTTCACATTTGTTCTTAACTTCAATATTCGAAATCTCACAACATGATTCCAGTACTTCGAAATCAATACTACAAATAGTCTCAAAATAAAATGTGGATGAACTCTGTTTCACAATGGCAATCAAATGTTGACATTTATCTGGACGCATTGAATGAGCATTCGAATATTTAAAACAGAACACTGAATGTCTTATACGAGAGTTAAATGCTAAGTAAGATCCCCGACGTTTTCCTCAACCCCAAACTGAACAATACCATAAAATCTATCTGATGAAAGAACTATCGTAGTAATGTTACATTCATACTGTTGAAATGAATGTTACATATCAAGACAGATAGAGTAGATCTGAGAGTATAATAAACATCTTCAGTGATCACCCATAACAGATTGTAGTCGATGCTTGCAAACTTATGCTCACAACTCAAATGAGTAATTCAATATGAAATTTTAATAGTGTGTTTAAAACATTTGACAATATTTTCAACCTACTGACAATAGTAAACTGATACAAAGATATGCACCTGTCGTTTGAATCTTACCGTTGTCCATGCAGATCTGGCTGATTTTAACTCAGTATCTAGTCGATAATTTTCTTGCGACATATTTTCGTAATATATCAGAAGACTGATGAAATAAATTAAACCTATTTTTTTCAAGAAAATGGAATTCAATGAACAAAATTGTTGAAACCTGAGTTGTAAATAAACACACATATTCATCTGAAATTCATACTGAATAGTTGGAAATGAAAATTGTTGAGAAAACGGTTTAGAGATAAGACGATATCTGTTTGTGTTTGTACATCGTATGATCAACGGTCGATATGCATTTTCAGTAGTTCTGATATGTGTTTTGACACATCAATTATCACGTGACTAAATCGCCAATTACTATTCCGACTTATGTGACTTTGGCACTATGCCAGACTAATGACACGTTAACCAGTACGAGCTACTTGGAGTCAACTCTCAGTCTATATTGGTTGTTCTTTTTGTGCCCCAACTCCGCCTGTAGACCCTCCGTGGTCTACTGTCGGTTCCAAGCCAGGATGAAGAAGGAGGATTTGGCATGGGGTTGGCGGCCCCATCCCGTAGAACACCAACTCTCTAAAAAACGCTAACCAGACAATATTATTCAAACCATTTAAACTCTGTCCTCCAAGTTGAGGGAAGAATTATGACGTCTCATGTTGAAAGCCGAGTTTCTTCGGAAGTCATGAGGCCGATGCCGCTTCTAACAACCAGAGCAACAATTTATCTAGATGCGTGGAATGCTCGTACAATGTGGGAGGCCGAGAGAGTCTTCCAAATTGCTGCGGAAATGAGGAGAAACAACCTGGAGGTGCTTGGGATCAGTGAAATACATTGAACGAAGGTTGGACAACAACAACTGTCTTCAGGAGAACTTCTGTTATACTCCGGCCATCAATAAGATCAATTCTACGATAGGCTGCAGTCGATCGTCGAGAAGTGTCCAACAAAAGACCTGACCATTCTGATGAAGAACTAGTACCTGCAGACTGGAAAGAAGGACATCTGATTAAAATTCCAAAGAAAGGTGATCTCGTCAAGTGTGATAACTTCAGAAGCATCATACTTCTCTCAATACCAGGAAAAGTCTTCAGCAGCGTGTTGTTAAGAAGAATGAAGGACTGCGTTAACGCCCAACTTCGAGACTAACAGGCTGGATTCCATATGGATCGACCGTGTACAGACCAAATCGCAACTCTACGTATCATTATGGAACAATCAATTGAAAGAGTGGGTTAGAGAATGCTGGTCGGCGACCTTTGCTCCATTGTGAGTAACAGGCGTGTGTGAGTAAGTAAGTTGTTGTGCCCTACACATTTGAGTTCAGAGCGCCATCTTCCAAACTCATGACAGGTGATATCATCTCAGATACAAACTATCTACTTCATTCATATTTTCCTCTTCACCTAATCAGTAACTTGTGTACTTAAACACGTTTCGAATTAAAATGTTGTACAGATTCAAATCTCTTTCTTATAAAACCGTTTTATTCAGTTCCAGGTAGTTTATCTACTCAGGTTTCGTATATATGTATGCAGTTATCGGTTTTGTCCCATATTTTTTGTAAAGGAAACTTGTTGAAATACTTTGTGATGAGAATTCTATATTGTCCCAAAAATATAATATCGAATAAAGTCAATAGGAATACTAATACTAATACTAATAATAATAATAATAATAATACTGTGAAGAAGTGCCTTGCACTGAAACACAAAACATCAGAAAATCTCATCTTCATACTCATTCAGATACTACAAATGAATTATTTTTATTAATAGCAGTCTTCCCAATGGCCAATTCATTTGAATTCTACCAAGTACGAATTCCATGATGATACCGACAAACTCTCAATATACATAGGTTGCAGTAAACCTAATGTAACATGAATTCCATTATTTTTCAATGTCTAAACCAAACTAATCTGTTATGCCACAATTATTTCATATCTCCTGAATTTGGAGAATGATGATGATGATGATTCCATTCTGTGAGTTTGATGTTGTTATCAGTTCACTAGTTGTGTTAAACATTTTCAACCTATTCATACTTCAATCGTTCAACTTCACACAGAAACTTCTACGTATGATTCATACTACTTGAATTTAAAAAGTAATGGATACGTTTTCGAGAATTTGTGCAACTACTTGTAATTAATCCCGATGATAATTTCAAATAAAAATAAGTAGCACAACCAGAAATGTTGATCGTGAAGCAAATATGTTTACTGTTTAGTGAATAAAGTTCTTTTGAAAGTTATCAGTCATCATACATGTGTACGTAGTATGTTTTACATATCTGTAGAAAAATGTTCACAAATATTTAAAGTGACCATGTGATTGATTGTTTGTGATGAATATAATTATACATATACGACAACAGAACTCACCTATCTAGAACAGGTTAAAACACTCGGTTTTTAGTCAAAGTCACTGTCCAAATGCTAGTAGTACTACTATCCGTGAAATCCGAACTGAAGTGATGCCGATTAGGTTCAAACTGGGACCTATTGTTTGAAAACTCTATAGTTTTACGATCGAGCCACTTTTCCACTTACATTATATGGCGACTTAAAATACATGAAAGAAATTTACCTGTAAACCATAATGCGGCGCCTCCCCCCAAAGCTGTATATTGAGCTGTTCGTGGTTTGAATTTCTCTGGTTTCTTCCAAGTTACGATTATAAAGATGCATGTTATAACGATAATGATGAAAACCAATATGATTGTAATGATTTGCAGCGCGTTTATAGCTGTTCTCATTGCTAATAAAAGAATAAATTTGATAACATTTTCAGAGTTAAATTTTATCGGTTATCATTTATTAATAATAGACAAGGCATCATGTCAAGTACAAATGTTGTGAATGCAACAGTACCGTTCAATTCGTCAGGTTAATCATCTTGTGAATAATGAAAAAAGAAAACTTATT